TGGGAGTTCTACATAAAAAAGATAACGTTTGTTCGACATTCATCAGCCTCACTCCCATTGCTCCATGCATCACTCTTCCTTTTAGTATTGGAGTAAATTTTGATTCCACATTTGACCTATGTAATAGCTTGTGTGAATTTAGCCAGCGCTTTTATCCTTCCTCACACACAGTATCGCTAAACTGACTAGGAGTGGAAGAGTTGGATCCACTGGGATTCCGTTGGTCCTTGAAATTCTTGAGTGGTAGGCATTAATCCATTTCCATGCATCCTTAAATAGAAGTGTGATTGTGGTAATTATAAGGACCACCATTACTGGAATATGTATGTTTTCTGCAGGGGTAATCTGCGTCTACAGGAAGTTCATTCCGTTCGGTGCCATTCGCCCAATTTCTTCTAATTTAATCATCTCCTCGTAGATCCCTGGTAAAGTAAACAAGCGAGGCTTTTTTCGAAAATCACTGATGATACCGTTTCCTGCTTTTAAGCCCTGTACGTAACTATTGAACGACAAGGGGTTGAAGGCTTCAAAAGTGATTTTCCAGTACTACTCACAATCAGACCACACATTTGTAGAAGCAAAAGATAAGGTAATCTATGAGGGCTTAGATGCCATGCTGCAGACATTGGCGGCGGCGTATTCCTTGCGACGGCCCTGAAACATCGATTGCCGCTCGCAATGTGAAGGGAGAAAGGCTGACTGACTGGTCCTCGGTCTCCTCGCAGTGTGAGTCATTCAGCAGACGTTTCAACGCGCAGCCACTCTGTCGCTTCACTTTTCTCATTCTCACTTAAACGGTCTCTTACCCGTTATTGCCTCCGTCGTTGTATCGCTTTTGTAGTTCTCGTCATTGTGGGGAAATGGGAATTTTAAGGAAAAAGAAACATTCCCTACCTCCCTGTCGCTGTCTAGGCGCCCAGTCTAATGCATTTAATACGAAGGGACCAATTTTCGAGCCCGCTTTGAAACGGCTTGCAAAGCTAGCCCCTCAAAACTACCTGAGCTAGGCCCTAAACAGGGAGCAAAGTGCAGTGGAATTTATTGATGGGGAAAAAACCTTTGCCGCTGCAGCGGGTTTTTTGTTTTGTTACAAAAGGTGACTGCACATAGAGATGTTGGTGCCTGATGTTGTCGTTGAAGATGTTGTTTGGAAGGAGTCCCATGTTCAGCGGTCAACGTGCTGGCTATGAACACTCGGTATCATACAGCCACTCTTATGAACCATTTCCTCCGTTCTCTAGCGCCTTAATCAGCCTTTAGTAGATGTATCTATTGATTTTGTGGATTTTTCGTGGATTTTTAATGAAGAAAAAAAAACAAGCCAGAATCAGCATTCATGTGGGGATCCCCTAACTGTCAAATGTTTCCTTCTTTATTGTCCTATATTCTATGCCAGTAAAATTGGCTTCCGGCAGTCATGACCCATAATTGATCCGAAACTTTTGGAATCAGAAGTTTTCCACCCTTGCAAGGTTCTCGGTGTGTCTGTTCAACAAATAATTACAACTCAAAGGAGTTCTGGGCATGTTTTTGTCATTGGCGGCCGACCGAAAAAGAGCCAGTGCCCGCCAGAGTGATAGGGTATGAGTCGGCAAGCCTGCTATTGTGGTGAAACCCTTTCAACGGCGCCCATTCTTCAGACTTACTCACTTACTATTTTTAGCTCCTTTTTAATCTTTTTAACCTTCTTGTCCGGTTCGATTGGGAGTGCGAAAAAATTGCTCAACTAAGCACTTGGTTCGATTTTTCGGAAAATGTAGGGAATGCAATTAGGAGGACTAGCAGGAATTTCTGAATTGCTAACTAAAATTCTTGCTTATTTGTGGTCAAAAAAGGGGCTCTCAAAGAGAGGGAGGGAAGGTTTTTCTTCCCCCTTGACTGTACCTGCCGATCGGATGTTTTAATCGTATAGATAATCAAGGAGTACAAGTTATTTCGATCTGTTCAACCCATTCCTGAGTTGTGTCGCTCAACGTTCTACAGACGAGACTAACTCAGACACATGTTTTTGCAACTTTTTCTAATGCACTAAAGCCACTTCGAAGTTTAAAGTTGGACTGTTAACTTTGATCTTCTTAATTTTTCACTTTCTATTTTTGATTTTTGGCTTCAGCTGATTAATCTGATCAGATCCTGTTCTGTGTTATAGGGATGTCTTCGCTGACTTATTTACTACTTACCAATACTTGTATCAGTTTATCTGAGGAAAATTCGGCACTTAGCGTAGTATTCGAGTGATAGTCAAGGAATTCAACATTCAGAGAGAACAGCAGAAATGGTGGTATTGATGGGTGAATGACTTAAAGTAAGGTAGCTGCTGCTTAAGCAAACACTTGCCAGTCTTTTTTCCATCCATTCCGGTGCAATATTATATCTTATGGACCTTTCTCTACGTGTCAGTACATTCTTTTGTTTGTTTGTTTGTTTATTTATTTGTTTTCATGAAGCTTCTCGATTTCTACTCAGTGGCGCGTTAATTCAGAAGCGAAAATTGAAAGGTAATGCTGTAGACTAGCTGTAAGGCCGAAATGTGGTCCCTACATGTCCGTTTTCACGTAATTTGCCAGAATAATGATGTCGGTAATCACGGAACTATCGGCTTCGATCGCTGTCATGGTATGTGGTCCAAAGTAGCTAACAACAAAAAAGAATGCTGGGACATGTCGCGGATTCCCATCATCCATAGGACAGCAACACATCCCATGAGAATCAACAAAACCAAAGACGCGTTGAATGTTGACAATAGGTCCGAGAGCAGAGTAGAGAGCATGAAAAAAGGGGAAAAGAGTCAGAGGGAAGGATCGAAAGATCAAGAGAAGTGAAACAGTGGACGTGACTAAAGAAAATATAAGGTTGAAAAACAGCAATGTCTCACGAAAAATCATTCGGGATCAAGGATTGGTAAAGGTCATTAAAAGCATATGGGCATAAAATAAATCGTAGAACAGCCGAAAAATGAGAATTCAACTGAGATGGCAGGGCACAGGAAAAAATCTCTTTTCATCAGGTAACATTATGGCAAGTAGGACTGAGTTACTGAAGTGACGTACTATCACAAACGCATGATCCAGAGTTCGAATAACGGGTCGTTACTCGCCCAGACCAACAAAGCAACCCATCCCTTCAGGGTCGCTCAGTTGGTACCAGACACGTCTGGTAGCATTGACTTGCACACTGGCCACCGCAAGTCCTTGTATAAGCCATAGAGCACTCGAACGCCACTACGATTCTTAATGGAAGTTGAGTACGTTGGCGCATCCCTAATTCGGGCATGGCTAACGCCAGAAACTTTAGACTTTATGCGGGCTCGTAGTAGCTGCCACTGGAACGATACTGAGAATTGTATTCTACAGTAAATTCCTTATTTTTATAGGTTTAGCTGTTACGTTTTAAGAATCATAGCGTAGGTTCCTGTATTGGACGTAAAATGCGGTTCTTATCCCAACCTCTAACCTTCACATTTCTTCATCATTACCGGAGATCGCTGGCAATTACTATAAGCAAGTACTTTCGCGGGGATTAGAGACACCATCTTCTTCTAGAGACTTTCATTACCATTTTCTACGGGGACTAATTAGATTTTTATGACCGTTACTCACTAAATCATTCCGTCACCTTGGCGATGCGTCCAGTGCCTCGACCACTATCTCTTATCTCTCCATCATTCTCTACCCGTCGGTTTCTAGAGCACTAACCTAGCGATGATGGTCGGATAACAAAAGGGTAACTTTGTGCGGTAGCAAGTAATATTATGATGAATGCTGAGGTAGTGTGTGTTTAAGGTGACTAATGAAAAGCAGCTCAATTGATTAAATGTATTGACATTAGAACAAATCTGTTACACAGCAGGAAGCTGAAGTTTTTTATCAAGAATGACTCATTCGTGCAATCTTGAGTTCGTTGCCCTCAGAAATTAGCCTGGAATTCCCGCTACTGATTTTGGTCCTCTTCAATGTGCTCAATGCCCATACTTGGCTGTCGTACATCTAACTAAGACTCACTGCACACTGGTTTGGCCTATGTTCTCTCATATGGTGTCAGTAATTGTGCATAAACAATTAGACAAAATAAATTTTTATGGAATTAATTACTTCGAAATCTTGTGAAAGCACTGTTTCCTACTGTTCTGCGGGTAGAGTAACAACTCAAATCTCGACTACCTTTCTAAACATAAGACCAGGTTTTGCGAGCAAGTCTTATTCAGAGTCAGTCCCCTCGTAGTTGTTGATATTCTATGCTATTTTATGCCGTTCTTTAACCTTTTTTCTCGAATATTGTGGCGATTTACAATTATCTACTGGAGAGTTGAGGAATAAAATTGATTTCGCTATTACACATCGTTTCTTGCCCCAGATGAAGAGTGTCTTTGATTTAGCTTCAATCTAACATACGCGCAACACGGGATCTGAACCATGGACCTTTTTTCCAGCAAGCTCATTCATTACTCATTAACAATCAAGTATTCTATCTGATCAACAACAATAAATGCTATATGTTAAGCTGACGGCAGAACATTGAGCCTCGGGACTCAAAGCCATATTCTTGTTTGAGAGCACGGGGATAACATCGTGCCTTCACTTGTAATGTATTTGTTGACAATTATGCACTGTGTTGTCCAAGTTCTCCTGCCATTGGAGGTCTTTAGAGCCAGAACACCTGAAAGCCTTCGACGGCAGAAGAATTTTAACAACAAAAATTTGGTTTACCAATTGATTTCAACGGTAGTGCCTTAGCCTCTGCAGACATTCTCATTGATTTTATAACTATTACACCCGAAAACCCTCCCTTAGTGAAGAATATCTTTAACAATGCAAACGACAATGCCGAGCTCAAAGAAAGAGAAAATTTGGAAGTGCAATTTGTATTTTGTAATATGATTTGATTGTTTGTAACAAAGAAGTTTAATACGTAACAGTCTTCCGCTTGATCGAAATATTATTACGTCGCCGTGTTCTGGTTAGTATCAGTAGATTTTGTACTTGATATCCCTGTTTTCAGTAATGACCGAAGTTGCTGATACTAAAATATGCACATATATGTATTCTGTATCATGTTCCATTATTGCCGAAGTTCTGATGATATTCGGATATAGAAATAATGCATGGCTAGTTCTCTTTAACAATGAGAACGAATTACAAGTGAGTTTTATGTTTTTATTTCTTCTCTTCTGTTTCTCCTGAGTTCCACTAATACTTGAAGTCCTGTCTGGGTATTCAAGGTTTACCGTATGGGTATTTGAGATGTACCATGAATAAATGAACCCGAGGAGGGAAGTAGAGATGGAATTTTTTGTTCACTTACATATGTAAGAATCGATCTGATGATTCCTGTCTAATCATGTGCGTGTGATAGCGTCTCACTTGGTATTTTTCATCTTAGCCGGAATCTTCCTTCTTGTCTCCTGGCATGAATCAACATTGTGCTTTCATCCTCCCACACGAGTCGGGTCAATTGACTAACCCCGTAGGAATGAAAGGGTTGGATGTCCGGGTGCGTATCACTGTGAGAGTCAATTTCTGGGCCATGCATGTGATAGTGTCACATTACCATCCCTGCCTCCTGGGTTCAAATTTGAGTTTATTCCACTTGCAAAAGGCACGCATGAGCAACTAACCCCTTCGTATCAAAGTGGGCGGAGGTGGTGTAGTGGCAAAAGGTCGCTATCACACACGCATGATCATAGGTTCGAACTGCGGATCTATGTCGGCCTATCCCGACCAAGCCTTCCATTCCTTCGAGGTCGGATAATTGATAAGAGGCTGGCCACTGTGAGTCATTGTTTAGGCAACATACACCTGTGTAGTGGAGGTCGAATGTGGGTGCATCCCTCAGATGGGTTTGATTAACCCCCACAAATTTTGGTCTAATAACTGCTAGTGTAGCAAAAATGTCATTTTCAGCGTGGTTTGAATGATGACTGCTTAAAAACCGACGAAGCTATAAAATGTCATACTTGGCAGTCATATGAAAATGGTTCGGCGGTTTTGCCACGACCGTTCGCCTTCACGCATTCACCGAGCGCAGGTTGGTCGGTCTCCGTATTTCGATAAGAGGATCGAAAGAATCGCTTCAGTTCTACTTTAAAGCCGAACTGACTGGCTGCTTTTCAGCAATGTACTTAGCGCTATACATCGCCCGAGTTCTTCTCTTTATGCAAGTTGTATGGTTCGCCATATGCGTTATCTGTTGCTGCAACCTCAAAGCTGAACAGTTCGCTAAAAAATATCAACGACATCTTATGTATCTGTGTGGTTTTGAAGGTATTTTTTAGATTTATGTATTTTCTTATTCTCTTTAAATTTAGATTTTTATTCGGATCTTTTTTAGATGTTTGAATTTTCATTCTTTGACTCTTGAACTCTCTCACATTTCCAACAATTATACGGAGCCTAAAGATGGCCTCTCATTTTTAAAACATAAGGAGTGGAATTTACCTAGCTGTAACCAATTTACCACAGCTTCTAAACCTGGAAAGGCTGTGCATGCTCTGAGAAAGTGGCAATGAAAGCTCGAGCAGGAAGTGCTCGAGTTGCCGAAAATCAGTTATCGGGTTGAAGTGGGCTTGAGAAGATATTCTAGTTGTTTGAGGATATAAGGGGATAGACCTATTGACCTTTCAACCGCTCAGTCTGACCATTACTGGGTCTTGAGGGCTCCTAAACTAGGTTACTATGAATAATGGGTAACCAACGATGGATGAGTAACAAAAAAGTATCGGGACTGAGAATTCGATGAATCAGCGCGATTCTAAGTTGAAAGGCAAAGTGAAAATTCTCGTAATTTCTTTGCATTATATCCGCCTGGGCTAACCAGGCCTCCCATCCCTGGAGGGTCGGCTAATTGGTACCAGATTCGACTAAGAGGATAAGAGCACTAACTTGAACATCGTCTGGCCACCGCAAGTCATTGTAGAGGCTACATACGCATTCAATACGGCACTACGATTCTGAGCGGAAGTCGAATGCATGAGCGAGCCCCACAGACGGGATTGGTCAACGCCCCAAGACTTTATCTTGAAATTAGGTCTTGATGCGTACTATTCCAACATCGGATGCATGATTCGAAACCATGAGCCCTTCCACTTACTCCTCCTTCGCCCTCCCTTCAACCCTTCGCCCCTCCGTTGAACGCCTAATACAACCACCCTCGAGCGGTAAGCAACATTTGAAGATTTTTTTTTGTTTCACATCACTTATAACTTTTTATTTATTCACGATTACCTCATCCCTCTTAACCTATCCCCTTTCACTCAACAGAACTAAAAACGCCGATTCTGATGATCGGTTTCTGTGTGTTTCCGCTGAGTTTGAACTGCTCGAGTCAATCATACATCCGAACTGTCTCAAGCAATATTGCCGTAGTCCGATTGTTTACTTTTTCAGCTCTCCTATTTGTAATTTTATGGATAGTCGTGATTATTGCATACTATGTAGATGGCATTATGGATGTTTTACAAGACGGATACGATGTGAGTTATCTTTTACCACTTGTTACCCAATCCCATGCTTTTCCCGGATCAGTGAGGGTCAGGGCTTCCTATGTGAGGGCGCTACTCACGCATATACCATAGCAATTCCGGGCTGTCTACTCGTTGTTTATTCAACCATATAATGACCAAACTCTCTACCCATTTCCAATGTGTACTTGTTTACGGGTCCGAATCCAGCTGGTCCGCTGCTGAAACACATCGAAACTTGTGTTAAACATTTGGCCTTGAACCAAGTCTAAGCGGTTCTGTGCGCACCTCGTTGCGGCGCTTCTTAGCCTGACACAAAAAGGGCGAACATGTAATTCGATCTGATCATATGTTCGCGATATGATGAAATCTGACTTGTTGTGCGTATACAAATGAGCAGTGTCTTTTGATGGATTTCTACGAAAGCTGTTAGAAAATCCCGGCAGTACCGTGGACTAATGTGAAATTTTCGGTCGATACTTCCCGGGATTTGATTCACAAATCGTTGATTCGGTAGTGATTTCATGTCACGATCACTTCCACTAAGTTCGTTCAAGCGAAGTGGTGGAAGATGATTGAGTCTATCTCCGGCGAACGGTGAACCTATAGGCTAACCTCGAGGAAGTGCCTTTCCAGTCGGTAGCTGGAGTGATGTTCACTTTCGCGGCAAATGAATCAGAACGTCTAGCAAGGCCGTAACCCTACCGCTGTAACGGTAGAAATGCCTTATACGTCACAACATTTCTTACTCATAGTAAGACACCCGCAGTCAGTGCCCACTTCAACTGATGGGCATACATAGGGTGCTTTTCTTATACTCTCTAAATAAATGGTCCACTAAGCATAAATATGTAGCTCACTACTACTTCCCACAGCAATACACAAATTAGTTAGCCATGCCCATAAATTTCTGATGCACTCGAGCCTAGTCGTAGGCGTATGTGTGGCAGTTCCAAATGTATAGTTGTGCAGATTGATATATTACCCCGAGTTTCAGAGATCTTTTGGAAGTGGATTCTGGCTGTTTGTCATGGGAGGCGCACCGCTCTACCTTCTCAGCGTCTTCTTAGTATATCGAGATGAACTTTCAACTTATCTCACCAATCGACGGTCCCAACGGACAGTAGCTCGGCACGAAATGGGAACGCTTGTATCTTGAATCAGTCATTTTGAACTAGGACAATATATCAGGTTGTATGTTATGATAATGTTGATTAGTATATGCAAAAGGATGTCAGGGACAATGGGTACGACATGCTTCATGACCGGGGAAAAGCTCCGGAGAGATGCCTTCAGCAGATAAGACTGAAGCGGTTAAGCGGAGGTATTGCGGCTGCTTTATGGGCAGTAGAAATCGCAGGATGGCGAGTATTCCGCGTCTGACGCGGAGCCTGTTGTTCTTATCTTGGCAATTTTGACCTCCAGGAAGAAAGACCTAGATGCTCACGATCAAGCAATGTCCAAGTAATAACTGTGGGCTGGAGCCTGGTCGCTCACAAGCTCAGAATGCCCTGATCTGACACTTGACGGCATTGGAAAAGATACAATCCTTTAGACAGTTCACTGGCTAGTTAGTAGCCAGTGAACTGTCAGTGGCATTCTTTTGTCCATATTCGCTGCGGTGTAAGCTGACTTATAGGGTTTTCCAGAACATTATCGTATCCAACGCTTTTAGACTTGCTTATTTCCTTTTGTTTGAAAGAGATTCTTGGTGATTGTTTTTCATTGAAGAGTTCGGGTCATTTGTTTTTATTCTTACCGTTAACAGAATACTTGAAAATTAGTAGCACGTTCTCTGTTCAAGTTCGCTGCAATGCAAGCCTTTCAGATAATGTGACAAACCATTTCAGGGCCTTCCTCATGAAGTCAGAAATGTAAATTTTTTGTTGCTTTGATTTTGCACATAATTGTGATCTCTGATTAGAAATTAATTTGGTTGTCGTGTTCGAACTGATGGACAAATCATAAAATGGATTCTTTCATGAATTCTTTCGAGTTTGTGTGACGATGCTGTTTATTATCGTTTCTCCCCTTAATACGTTAGTGCTGACCTTCTCATTTCAGACTGAATTCATTTCTGAACACGAATTCTTCAAAAGCACTGTTCACTACGAAAAATTTTAAATGAAATCCCCCTAGAATGAATCTTGGACCTTCAATGACAGCACATGGGACATTGTAGGGTCGAAAAAAGACCCGGACAGGGCGTCACAGGGGCTCGAAAACCCGCTTAGTCGGTAGCGTACACTGAGAAGTGTGTTATGACGGCCTTGATAAGGTAGCACCATTCACGATAAAAATCTAGGACGCCGAAAAGTAGTACGCTCATATAAGTGACACCCAGACGGTTATAGACGCATAATCTCGCATAGTCTTCGTAACTACTTTTTGAAGCCTTCTATTCCTTGGATTGCGTCGACTTTAGCCCTTCCCCTTTTTTACTTTATAGGGCATCGTAATTTCCATTAATTTACTCTAACTGGTAAGTATTATCATGAACTCTGCCTCCAAGAAAAATGCCTGAACATTGGATACTACGAATTCTTTTTGAGAAACAGACGATTGATATAAACTATGTTGGCAAATTATCCAGTATTGTATGCCCCATTTCCATCCATCACCTTCCCAAAGACAGAAAAATTTAGTGCACAGAGTTGTAGCGATTCGAGCGTTTTAAAGTAGGAAAGTGTGATCGGGAACATTTGAAAGTAGATGGAAATCGCTCCGCATCATTCTATCTTGCTTCTGCAATGCAGCTAAATTTTTCACTGCCGAGCCGTTCACTTGAGATGACTAGGCCTGCGCAATAATTTGCTGGGGCTAAAACAAAAAAGCCTCCATACATTAGGTGTGTGCATTAAGTTCCGCCGTTTTTTGCGTGCAAAAACACACTTATTACAAAATTAAAACCAAATGTACATTAACCAATGCCCATCGTTAGCTACAACTTGGTTCCATCTTCCTGGTATCTTGTTGACTCCGGGTCTAAAAAAGTCTTCATCTTTTGAGGCAATCCTGTTATCCACCCATTTTCGCACTTCTT